AGCATTTTCCATGAAATCCATTCATGGCTTTAGCCATATACCCAATGTCATCTAACAACCAATGCACAATTGAATCCAATAACTCAAAATCAACTAAAATTTTACCTATTGAGACTTTCAAAACTCTCAATTCAACCATGCAGCACTTCAAATGTGATTTTTAAAACTTATTAACATGAAATCTCCAATTAATAAAAATTTCAAATTTGCAAATGAGCTCTGAATTCTTACCTTTGTTTGTAGAGCTTAACGTTGTGATCATAGAGGCAAAAACAGATTGCAAATCGGATGTCTAGAGATTAACCTATGAATTTTCTTCTTTTGATACCTAAAGAAGAACCATGGCTATTTTTTCTTCCTTTCTGGCCTTTGGGAAGCAGTGCACCGAAAACAAGAAGATAAAAGAATCCTCTTGAACTCACATGTTCTCCATTCCTTTTGCCTCATTTTTTTTTTCCTAAACCTTTACAAACTCCATATAAATAAATATATATTTCTGGGGTTTCTTTTGTAAAAATGTTGCTTTTGAAATGGTTTTGAATGTTATGGCTTTTGCTTGAACTCTGATATTTATTTTGTTAATAGTATTAGAGGTCTTGCGTATGTTAAAGATACAAGAGAATTGTCGTGTTTTGAGACGAAGCATGCAACTCTTATGCGTTTTTAAGATTCGCGACGCTGTCACGTTACATTTTTGGGTCATGGCAATGACTAACAAAAGGGGTACTTGGGATGATTGAGTTACGGGGTTGGTTTGTATAATAGAGCATTCGGACCATCGCTGCAGTGGTAAAATGCATGATATGGGACATGCAGGTCCGCTTGTTTTATTACATAGGTTAACGGGTTGGGTAATTGAAGGTAGGCTGCAATAGAATATAATTTATGTTTGATAACATGTTATAATTGATTACGCGTTGCTTACATGCGGTTTGATTCTAGTGCTGTTGTATCTACCAAAATTAGAAAAGAGAATAAGCAACATGAAGTTTCCTTTTTCTTGCGGACAAAATTTTGGTTGTGTATATTATACAGATGCATTACAAGTTGCTTTCAACAAAGGTATTACTGGTTAGTGGAGATCAGACTATTATTTTGAAGTGTATACCGATAAGATGTGATTGCACAAAGATAATGTTGGCAGCAATGTTGCTGCCTTGCCAATTGTCTTTTGAAGTGTCTTCCAAAGATTGATAAATTTGACCCTCAAAACAGAATCACAATAATACATACTAAAAGATGCTCGCTTTTGTAATCCATCAAAACAGAGACTAATTTTTTCTTTTAATTCTTAGTCTATGTTAAATGTAATAGTGTATATATATCGTGATTTTTATTTTATTTAAAAATATACTGCCAGTGCACCCCCATTTATCAATGTATTATTGCATAAGAATTTGCATATTGCAAAGTAACTTCTTATTCAACGTTGTCGAACACAATATTAAGATAAATCGTCTCTTAGTATTTTGTTTCTAAGTCTAATCCCAAGGCAAACCTTGAGTTGAAATCCGATTGTGCTAATATTTTGAGGAACTTGTGTAAATTGTGTAATTATTGTGACCTATTGGCGCCGAAAAAATAAAGGAAAAGAAAGAAATTTGATTTATGAAAGTGGAGTTATAATCAATAGTAGAAAATGATATATAGCACCCGTCCTTAGAGAGGATAATAAAAAAGCTTCCAAAGGAAGTACGTGCTTTCAAAACATAAAGGGCCTTTCAATGCAAGAGTGTGTGCATGATGGCTAGTTAGAGCATTTTTAATGGAAGTCCCTATTTAGGGACTCCTACCACCATTTTTTAGTACTCATTTAAAGATTTAAAGGGAATCTTTGTATCTCTAAAGGAATATTGCCTCCAATGATAGAGTTTTTATAGTAGAATCCTTAAATTTGAAGTTTTTATGGTTTTATGTGATAATTTGATTTGGTGCACATTTGTTGCTTATGTTAACATTTTTTTTAATTAATTAAAGCATTAAAATTAAAAACATTAAAAGAAAAATTCTTCAATCAATATCGTGGGTACGGTTTTCCACTCAAGGTGCTTTTTTTGTTTATGTTAACTATTTTTTAATTAATTAAAAGCATTAAAAGCTACAATCAAGATTGTGGGCTTCGTTTTCCACTCAAGGTTGTCCATGTACAATCATTGTGTGTGAAGACATACATTATGTATCCGATAAGTCCCTATACATTAAGAACTCACTTTTTGATCCATTAGAAATTTATTTTGTCCCTATATCTGTTTTATACCTATTTTATACGGTGGTTGTCCATATTTAGGGATTCCACTAGATATGCTCTTAAATAGAAAGGAAGCTATAACTATCAACTAATTTGAGATATATAGAAATATATTGTTCGAGTTGTTCTCTTCTAAGCATGATTTGAGAATAATAGGTGGTTGAGATTTAACTAAATCTCCTTTAGTTAAATCTTAACCATTTATTTGTGAAAAACATGTTATGGAGAATCACGGTATATTATTTTCATTTTCAATATTGCGGATGAGATGTCATTAGGGGGTGTAGTCAAATAAGGATTTTAAAGGATTTTAAAAGACATTAGAATCTTGGTATAGTCAATTAGGATTTTACAAGATTTTAAAAGAGTCTATTCAAATATAGAGGTAGTCAATTAAAGGATTTCGAAAGACTTTAGAATCCTTGTGTAGTCAACTAGGATTTTAAAAGATTTTTATAGAGTCCATACAAATCTATAGGTATTCAAAATATCATAGATTTTAAAGGACTTCCTTCAATAAGAGATTTTATAGGATTTGAGAATGAATGGTGAGCATAACAAAATCCTACCTCCAACCCTAAGATTTATTTTCAACCCCTCACTTTCTTTTTCTCTCTCCTCACACTGCAACTCGAGCTTTCTTTCTCACTCTTTATTTTCTCCAAGAAACCCATCCTTCCTTCCTTCCTTTTGACATCTCAGCCACCCACCCCATCCTCTCAATATACAATCAATATACCATTGTATATATACGATCGTATACAAAGATAGCAAAGTTGATCATACCTTTGAAGATAGGACTTGAAGAAGGCGAGAGAAGGGGTGTGGATAATGATAGCAAAGTTGATCATACCTTTGAAGATAGGACTTGAAGAAGGCGAGAGAAGGGGTGTGGATAATTGAAGGATTTGAGTTGCATTTGTTGATGGACTCCTTCATTTTTTCTACCTTTGCAGCATCCATTCTTCTCTCTCGCATTTGCTAATAGACTCCTTCATTTTTCCTACATTTGCATCATCCATTCCTCTCTCTCTCGAATAAAAGGAATCACCTTTTAGAAAAAAGTCAAAAGTCGGAAGCGCTTTCATAAATGAATGATTATGGTGGAAGGTTTCTGCCGTGGAAGACCATGGACATGGAGGATAGGGGTTACTTAGGAGAACTGGGCACAGTTCTTCATTTACTTTCAAGATTAATCTTATTTTTTATTTAAAAATACATTTTAAAATGGCAAGAGAGTCTCTCAAAATCCAGTCAAATCCTTAATCAAAGTCGATAAGAATTCTTTCAAATCTTTAATCAAAATCCATAAGAATCCTTAAAAATCCATTTGAAAGTTGTAAGGATTCTACAATCCTTTGAAATTTGTCACTTAAAAAAGTCTTTTAAAATCCTATAAAATCCAAATTGACTACACCCCCTAGTATTAGGGTCTAGTTGTATTCATCTTCACTTGGAAGTGAGAAGTGAAAGGTCTTAGGTTCGATTTTCACCAAAAGTGAATTTGAACCACATTAATGGGCTACTAATGTGAGGCTAAGTTCATTACTTTTTCTCCTTTTAGTGTAGATAATATCATTTGTTAAAAAAATTACGAAAGAGATGAGGCCTAAATCACAACAAAACCCGAAACAGAAAATCAAATATGAAGCCCATAAACGTTAGACAACACAAAAAATCATATTGAGGTTCCATTACTAATCGTATAAAATCTCTACTTGCATCTAATTTCATAGGTGGTCAAGCTAAGAAAAATATTTATATTAATTAGTTGGCCACTAGAGTATCTAAAACTTTGACATAGTATTAAAGCAAGTGATCCTCTGGGTTCGATTGAGCCGAAATGTGACAATGAACTAAAAATCTACATCCTGAGTTAAAACACTCGAACTCAATTTTGAAGTTCAAAATAAATAAATTAATGACAATATCGATATAATTAGTAGTGAATTTTCAAAATCTTTGAAACATTAACGTGATATCAGGACGATCCTTCTTTCAACTCGAATTGGAAAATGAGATTAAAAAAACTCTGCAGCTCTAAGTTAAGATACGCAAATCAAATCCCTAAAATCCAAAATAAAAGAGGACATTCCACATGCACCTACTAAGATAGTCATCATGTTAAACCCGATCGCAGTAAATACTTCAGTTGAATAATTGAATTTATGAAAGAGAATAAACCTTTCATAGAATATCTCATCCCTACTACGTGTATTGGTTGTTAGATTAGAATCAGTACCAGTGGGGTCACTGTCACTAGTAGTTAGATTAGAATCAGTATTAATTAGTTAGGGATTACTGTCACGAGAGTATTAATTAGTTAAAGATTACTGTCACGAGAAATTTTGTAGGGTACCCAAGAATACAGCACAAAACACTAAATGTCATGATATAATTGGTTATATATATTTTTTAAAGTTTTTAATCAATTATATTATTGTACTTTTTTTAGAACATTGAAAAGTCTATCCACGATCATGCACGAGCCGGAAAAGAATAAACGAACAGTCTACAAGAAACTACCACGGTGGTCAGTAATTGAAGATGAATTCTAGACTCTTGTTTCACATGACACGTCCTCAGTTCTATTCCTGACTGTTTATAAATCACACGATAATGACCAGATGAAGTTGAAATGCCGTATGAGCTCTTTTAGCCTCCAAAAGAGTGAACTGCGGTGGCGATGTCAACTGTTGGTCCCTTTTAAAAAGAAAAGAAAAACAATCTGAAGAAGAAAAAGTCCAAGTTTGCTATACTTAGGAAAATCTCAATCAATTCAAAACTTTTTCGGCATCGTAAGAAGAACAAGTTACAAAAAGACCGACTGAAGGAAAAACAAAAACAAGCAATCCATATCCTGTACAATATTTTACATTCAAAACACCTGCAGTAATTAAATTACAAAAGTATTTGATCACCAGCTAAAAAGGTGCTGAGACAATCTCCCTGGGTCCTCGTGGTCTTCTGTAATAAGGTTCCGAGTACTCAGGCTCCTCAACTGAAGCCATCATCACTTCATCACCACTTTGCTGGATCGAACTTACCACTGGCTCCAAACCCTGCAAAATTAATAATAATTTAGTTAATTTAAATCTTGGTCTCTAATATTGTTATAAAATATTTATTCAAAAAATTATTGAAAGGGTTTTTTCAACCACAACAAACCTCTGTGAAAATGCGCATTGCTTCTTCCATATTCTTTGTATTCACCACATACTTGGCTGCCTCCTGCACGATATCACCACACTTATAAATTACAAACCCATAAAAAGTAAGATAATTTTTAAAAAAAATTCAAACTCATAATTCCAATTTTCATTCCATATACTGTAGCAAAAAGGGATAAAGAAATGATCTTGTATTCGCCATATAAAACCTCGTGTACTTTACTCTCTTCCTTCTGCTTAGTACAAGAGCGGTAAATAGTAAATCGTCCCGTTTTTGCCATCACGAAGTGAACTGTTCTTGCCAAGGAGGAGCATATATGCATGTCTCAAAAACCCAGAAAAGAATTAACATAAGTACCCTTGCAAATTCAATTTGTTCCATTCCCAACGTTCTTGGCTCGGTTTCTATGGATGGTTTCCTATCAATCCGAATTGGTGCAGCCTCCATTTTCTTAATAGTGAGAGAGACAAGACAGAAAGATATAGAGAGAGAAACAGAAATTTTCTTTTGCTTTCTGGGAGATGGGAGACAGAAACAGATAAGCGTAGCGATTGATATCTGATGAAGAAAACAAAGTATTGTGAGAGGAAGTGTTTATAAGAACTCTGCATTTTTATTTGGTCGGTCGTGACTCATTGACTGATTGACTCTAGTGAGCCAATGCACGGATGAGCAAGATCACCACGTAACGTTACGTGGCCAGTAATACACCGCAGAAATTCGAGTACGTGGCATTGGGAACATGAGGATGCCCCACGTGGCAGCTGTTGGTTGCCTTTTCCTTATGCAGAAACTCTGGAATGGCCGTGGTCCCCACATTTTTTTTCCAAATGGGGTAACTTATGGCGGTTTTCTTGGGGACACCTGTCGGCGTGGTGCTGCGCCCTACGGTGGCCAACCAGGGAGGACCACGAAGGCGTTTCGTTTGCCTCAAAAGTAACGGATTTGATTCAGGAATATAAGAACATATTCGATGGAAAGTTCTGGCCGCTTCATTTTTAAAATTTTTATTCGACTTATTTTTCAGTTATAACACGTGTGTTGTGAAATCGTTGTCAATAACGTTCAAAGAAAATTTTTATAGGATGCTTTATAGCATGAAATATTGAATGATCTTACATTAATACAGGTAAAAAATAAGTATAGCGAAAATGAAAATGTTTTATTGGATAATTAGGTACACAACAAATAACAGGATTAAACACGAATATATCTTAGAGAAATTATGAATGGCTCATTTAAGATAAGATGAGAGAAAATCAGTTAATTAACATGTGTTAACGCTCAAAACTTATAGGTTAACAAACTAAAATAATTAGTCATTGGTGGGTGTGGAATCAAAGCCATAATGAACTCACCCTTAAAAATGGGCTACATCCATTTTATTGCTCATAATATATTGATTTCAAATATTACAAGTAGTGCTAGGGTAAAGACAATAACTCTCTTCTTTTAGGAGGGTGTATTCGATTGAGAATTTGAGAGACTTTAATGGATTTATAAATTCATGGATTTTTATGGAGTTTAATTGATCTGTAGAAATTCCATATAAAATTTTGATTCAATTCCCTCAAAATCTCATAGGGAGAGGTGAGATTTGTGGATGCTTAAAATACATTACGAAATCTCTCCAATTCCCTCTAATTCCTCAACTTTCTCAAATTCTTTAAAATCAATTTCTAATTGAATACACCTGGAATGTTATAAACTTATTTAAAATCCTAATTGAATACACCCGTATTTCTAAGGATTTTAATAAAGTATCTCAAAATTCTAATTGAATACACCTTGAATTTCAGAAAATCACTTAAAATCCTGATTGAATACCCCTAGATTCATTAAAAGAATTAAAATTCATCAAAATCCCAATTGAATACACCCCCCTTAGTTATCCAACCCCATTACAAGAGTTTCACACCCCTTTATATACAGTGAACCCAAAAAACCTTGGGCTCACCTACCTTTACTTTTATGGCATCTAATGAGCCACTTAAATAGGCTTGCTTGCTAATAACATTTTTCACTATTAGTCGATATTCGCTGATGAAGTGACATTTACTCAGTCGAAATTGCACGTCCTTCTAGCTCAATGTGTGGCGAGCAACCTGCTTGGCCTTGATAAGTCAACGATGCCATTCCCGAGCAATGGTTTGATTGCCTTTACGTCCCATCCTAGACTCCTACTTTTATTTGGTGGTTGACATATGGCTTGACTGGTGTCTGAGTAGGCCTGCCCCTAAAGTTTTGTGCCATTAAGTTGTCGGTCTCCCCACGTGTCCTTGGTGGTGAGAAAGTACTTTATGTCCTTCATCGAACGAGGCTGGTGAGTGGTTGGTTATAGCACTCGGACATGCCTCATTTTGATTCTACTAGGCCTTGGGCTTCCTATTCTTCTTTGGCCTTTGACTTTTATTGGGCTTTCGTGGTCTGTTTTCCGGCTTGTACTATTTTGAGGGTCGAAAATATGGTCTGGACATGTGAGCGAAGGACCTACAAATATTCTGGTTAGGAAATATGATTATGAGATAGAGGCTTAGGGCAATAAGGTTAAAGGAAAACCTAGGAAGACTTGGAAATAGACACTAAGAAAAGACATGAAGTATTTAGACCTTACAGAAGACTTGGCGCATAACCAAGCACAATAGCGTTGTAGGATTCATATAGTCGATCCCACTTAGTAGATAAGGCTTTGTTGTTGTTGTTGTTGTCGTACTTGCTCTTTACCAAATCTCATTTTAGCTTCTACACTACATATTGACTTACTTTATGACATACACTTTTCTTCGTGTCCACTTTACCCCTACATTATGTATGGTCTTACTTGCACTCTTCCTCAATGTCTTATTTACCCGATTTTGTCAAATAAGTTAAAAATAGCCATCAATTGTGCTAGCAGTGGCATGAACAATTTAGTCTTTTCAACTATGTTGGTAAGATCCTGGAGTGTAAGGATGTGGGGTAAATTGAAATAGGTTTGATTTCTCCAGATTAAAAAAAAAAAAAAAAAAAAAAAGAAAGAGGATTGCGATAGAAGTAGAGATTCTGATGATAGAACTCTTCGAATCTTTGTAAAAAGGTCCAAAAACAATATTTTAATTCACGAATCTTGAAATTCAACATTCTCTTATATTTTCTCTTAATCTGAATAATTAAGACCTAGTTTGAGTTTAACCCACCTAACATTCTAGACAACCAACGTATTTGAAAAGACTAAATTTTCTATGCCATGTTATTACAATTAACAACTCTTTAAACTTATTTGACGGAATAATGTAAATGGGACATTAAGTAAAAATGCAAATGTTAAAGTAAGACAATATAGAGTATAGGAGGTAAAGTGAAACACAAAAGAAGAGTGCACGTGGTTAAGTGAGTCAATGTAAATATATAAAAAATAAAGTGAGATTTGGTGGATAATATATGTGTCATAACTAAAAATAAGTTTTTTTACTTATTTTATTTATTTATTATTTATTTAATGTTTCAGAGTAACCTTAATGGATGAAACAAAAATAAAACATATGACTAACTTGATAAAAATTCGAGTTTATACAACAGATCAACCATCTATGTTGATGGTAGATATTGTGTAAATTCACATCCTCAAACTCTAGATACAAAGCTGCCCTCTAAAATTTGGTGAACAGGAAGTCGTATTTCATGTGGTATTAATTGAATAGTTTTTATTTTATTCTATTTACCCTTTTTTAATATTTTTTAGGGAACTTTAACGAAAAGCACCCGGTACTGTTCACTTTAACGAAAAACCACATTTTTACACTAAAAAGTCAATTCTGGTACTATTCACTTTACCCTTTATTTTGTCATTATCATTAAAACTCAAAGTTTTCAAGCTCTTTTCATTAGTTTTCCTATTTTTTTAAGGATCCTATACACTAATCGTACTGTGACAATGGATAAATACAACAAACGATGGACTTGCATTTTATTCGGACATCGATAAAATTTTAAAAGTGATTTCAACTCGATTGCAAAAAAAAAGAGCGTCCCATACTATAATTACAAAATAATTTTATCCTTTAAAACAAGTCACAAATCAAGTTGGAGAACTCGTACGATATAGTGTCTCATTGCTTCTCTATGATCTTGATTCAATTAATAAACTTTGAAGAAGGCCTCTAGCACAAGAGATGGTCTTTGACATGGCACGCAGATTGTCTGCCCTCCTGTTTGGGTGCTCTTTTCATCTCCTTTTATTTTATGCGGTTACGGTTAAGCCACGTCAACATTTTATATTAATTTTTTTATAGAGATAATAAGACAAAAAGCAATAAGAATATAAAATGTTGATGTGGCTTAATCATGACCGCATAAATAAGAGGGGATGAAAAGGATACCCAAACAGGAGAGTAAACAATCTACCTCCCCCGAATTGTAGTTGGTGTGTGAGGAAAGTGATATCAAAGAATAAGTCAAGATTAGCATGACATATCAAGAGTCTTGTAAGGTTGTCGTCGGGGCCCAAAATTTCTCCCAGCACAGTTAATAATGGGACCCTACAATGAAGATCTTCCTCCTCCATTTGCATGGCTGGTAGTGAAAGCGTTAATGGTTGAATAGCTAAACTCTCTGAATTTTGAGGCGCTAAACTTTAAGCAGCTTCTAAACCGTATGGGAGTTTTATACAGGCTTTAAAGACAAGCTAGCGGAATTTATGAGACCAACCACTTTTCTTTTTTATTTCTTTGGTCAGAAAATAAAATTTTCATTAAAAATATAGAAAATTACACAAAATGCTCACTAACTATATCAATCTTTTTACAATGCAACCATTAAATGCTCACAAAATGAACAATCAGATTTAGGGCATGTTTTTGAAGAAAATGTTTTTTTATTCTAAAAGCACTTCATGTGTTTTTCCAAGTTTCACTTACATTTTTACTAGATATTGGTCCCAAAAATATTTTCACAAAAAAAAAAAAAAAACTTTCAGCCATTTTAAAAGAACTTCCAAACGAGCTCTTAAACATTGAGATTTAAAGCTATTGCAAGTGTCACTTAGTATTATGGTTTAATGGCATTCATCTTCACTTGTAAGTGAGAGGTTTTAGGTTTGATTCTCACTAAAGGAGAATTTGAACTGCATTATTACTAACCCATTGTCAAGCTAAGTTGATAATTTTCCTTCAATATAGATAATATCATTTGTTCATACAAACAGAAAAAAAAAGAACACTATTGCAAAATAGATATTTTACGGTTATAAATTTGAAGCATTCTATACTACGGGAAATTATAACCACACCCTTTTATATGCAAAGCCAATTAACGTACAAACAAAATTTCAATTCAATTATGCAGCTTAACAAAATTGTTTTTACAAAATCTTTTCATCACTTGCCATACGTGTATCACTTCCACGCTCACTAGTATTTACACATTTTTTAATTTTCTTTCAGCTATCTCTTTGTAAATTAAAAACAGAAACAAAATTTCTCATATCAAATCAACTATCCTTGCTTCATTTCAGCGGGGGGCATAAAGCTCTCCATTGTCAAACCCCATATATTAAAATCCACCTCATCAATCTTCCACGTTTCCTCCATCTCCCTCTTGTGG